TGCTGTTGCCGGATGACATTGCGATTGCAGTTTTGGAAAGCTGCGACAGTAAAGCGGGACATGTGGCCGCGGTGCAGCTTTCATGTGCCCCGAAAGCCCAAAGCTGGGCCGTTGGGTATGCCACTTCGGCAAAGAAGGAAGTACTGGGGTGTTCATGTGCCGTAATTGCAGGAATTGCAGGGGGTGGTGGGGCTCATAGTTAGGAGCGAGTTCTAGCTTACAGCATAGAAGCCATGCCATTTCACAGGCTATGTTCACATCCCACTTGCGATTACAACTCTTGCATTTAGCATTAGCGTACTCTCATCTAATGATTCTAATGATGTGGGAGACGGGCCAGACTGAAGGTCACACGAGAGGATGACACCTCAATCTCGAATGATGATGTTGTTGAAACTGCCTTCAGTGGCAACGCTGCCAGCATCTTGAAGCTGCCACAGAAAGCCAGAAGGTCGTGCGACAAGGGTCTGCGCACGACTGTAGTTTCCAATGTTGCGTCTGTTGCGTCCTCGTAACCTCGTCAAAACTCACCGCAGCGACAACACGGAAAATGAGGCCATTTGCCAGCCTTCGTGACAAAATGTTGAGCTCTTTGACCTGGTACTGCCAGTCGGCAATGTAGACACGTACTTTCCCCAAGTGAGAGCGCGACGCTGCAGGCTTCATGTCAGCCGACATTGTGGCTGGTGTGTGTGCCAAGCCCAGCGTTCATTGCTGGAAGGTTTGATCCTATGATGTGACGTGGCCTGACCGCAAGACGGTTGTTTCAGGACTCATGCTGCTCTACCCCAGGACTGATCGCAGAACAAAGCAGTAAAGTCCCCGCGAGAAGCACGACAAAACACACACTCAGCCTAAGGCAATACTTCAGCCCCACTGGCAATCAGACCAGCCGTCCTCCGTGCGAGTGCAGACAGCACTGTCCACAAAAATTCCGGTCACCTCGCATCGGCACAAGACTACTTAGTTAAAAAAGGCTGAAGCTGCGCAGATTCGATGTTGTAAGGATCACGCAACATTGAGGACGCCGACCAAACTCAAGCCAACATAGAAGGCAAACAGCACGAAGTACCTTGTCTTTCAGGGCATGAAGCAGGTCCTGAGAAGAGTATTCAAAGTATTCATACAGTAGCTGACCTCATAGACATTCTCAGAGATCCAAGGCACACTTCTCCAAGGTCGATGCTTCGCAACAACTCCGCATATAGCATCCAATCATTTCCACCGGTGATGGAACAAAATAGAGCTACCATCCTCGGCACGACGTGAAGCCCGTAACACCGCCACGCTGCTTCCCACCAAAATTGGGGCCTGGGGACTATATGGCAAGCGGAGCTGAATGCTATCATGTGGCGTATCAAACAGAGTCGGGAAGTGCCTATATATCCTGCCGTGTGCCAGAGTGAGCATGCATGGGTGCTTTCGTTCTATGCCGGCAACTCACGCTTCATGATTTGCGATTGGCCGACCTCTCCACCTTCGCCTGGTGCTCGAGGTTGTTGGGATCTAAAAGATCGTAGGAGTTGGCGATGGCCATATCGAAGATCACACTGAAAACAAACCTTAGGGGTGAAAGGCTGTCGAAAGAAAGGCATCCATTCTCCACACGTTCTGCTTTAATGCAGCACGGCAGCATGACAATACCGATCAAAACAAAGGCCCATAGAAGAGCCTCAGACAGCACTTAAACAACTTAAACAGAACATAGCTTCTGTGGGCCCTGTAGGGCTTGCCAATGTAATGCCCAAGTCACGGTGAAAGAGTTCAACATTGCGAATAGCATAGTGCGTAAGCTCCTCAAAGCCTTCACCTTGGAACGCAACACGGCTTCTTGAAATAGGGCCACCTATGTTGCCGTAAAGCCGAAAGAACTCCTGACTTGGTGGGAGCCTCTATGTTAACCTTCGGAAAGGCTCGGGGCGCTCTTCTGCATGCACTCCCTCTGAGAAAGTACCCCTCTCATCCTCTTGTGCCGCTTCTGGCGCCAAGGCGCCGTTCGCACCACACGTACCACACGCACCAAGCGAAAGACCCGGAAGACTCTCAGCAAGGTCCTTGGCGGCTTCACACTATTCATTCGGTATGAACAGTTTACTCGATGGTTTCGCTTTCACAAGCCTCTGTCGTTAACGAAGCTTGGCTGCACATGCTTTACAATGTGCTTGGTCAATATTGACTTGAGGCGTGCCGTGTTTCGCCAGTGTCATGGACCGCACCGCCAAAGGACAGCATCTGTGATCCGTTAATTTCATGAAACATCACCATTCTTTTCGCTGTTCTTTCGTGCTGGACTTCTATGTCTACCGAACGAATGCATCCAACGCTTTCACAAGTGAACTCCCAAGCACCCATGCGCAACTGAGGCCACTGCAAATCAGCAAAGAAGTTTGGGGCCGATAACTCTACAATGGCATTCAGCACCTGCTGGAGATGATGCTGTTACTGCCACTGGTGCAACCACACGGTGCCAGTAAGTGCTGTGCCAGAAACACATCGAAAACATTCCACCACTTGTCCTCGATACGCAGATGCCCTAAGACACACTATATTGATGCAGAAAGTGCTTCCTGTAAAGCCGAGTCTCCTCACCAGTGAAGAAAGATGTCTTCTCTGCCAGAACTCGTACGATTAGCTCTATACTGAACCTGGCTTCAAGGCAAGAATGGTGCGAAAGCTCGCTCCCGGAAAATCTAGAAATCTAGGCGACCAAGTCTTGGCCAAGGGGCCACACCGTAAAAAGAATGTCTGGATATATTGGAGCTTGATAATGTGCCAGTCCTTGAATGTGCTGACTGGCAGGCGGCCGGTCATGAACGGAGCCACACTGCTTAGACAATTGCGGCCAAAACTCCCATCATGCGGTTGTAGCTGTTCGCCAAGTGGGTGTCTGCCACGGTTCCTGAGCTGAATGAAATGCCTAGTTCGAGACTCAGCTGCCAGCGTGAAGTGGAAGAAGCCCCCGAGCTTGCTGTGTCCAAAAATTGGCTCTAAGCACGCCCATCCCGGGGAGGAGAAAGAGGAACCAGCCTAGCACCATTCTTCCTCTGGTCAATGAGTCTTGGGAGACTCGCGACACCTTTGGGAAGCCTTCTACGTCGAACGCCACTAGGTCACTAAGTATCCCTGCGCTGGGCTTTTCAGTTCGGAGAGCTACTTCCGCTCTTCCATGTTTTGAAGCTAGGAAAGCTGGTGTCACAGAACACGGCCGGCTCTGAGGCTTTCCTGAATTGGCTTCAAGCAAATCTAGGAATGCGGCATAGTGCAGCCCAACATATTTCAAGGAAGAAGTTTGCCAGCAGATGGCTTTGCAAATCGACGGCATGAAGGCCGCCAGCCCATGTCTGCACAACTGATTCTGCTGGGCGGCCGATATATACGGTATTGGCCTCGCTGAACACAGGAGCTGTGCAGGCTATGGACAATTGAGGTCGCGAGGGATGACCAGCAAACAGCTTCTTTTCCAAGATGGTGCAAGTGACCCCAATGGCCAACACGCAGATGGTCTTGAATAGCATACCATCAGCAAATCGCTGTATCAAGCTCCCATGGCCTCACAGCCAGATGAAGAAGTGGATGCACGGCTCAACGGCTCATTGGCTCTACTCGATCCTCTGCCTGGTACTGCACAGCACTCCCCACGGATCATCTGCAAGAGTTCTGGCATGCTCCACGGAGCTCTCCTCAGCAAGGTCGTATCATCACGGCATGTCATGACTCATGACCAAGCGATGACCAGCTTCCTAGCTGGCCTTAGAGCCTTAGAGCTCCAGGCAAGGCTCTCTCCCGGAAATGTTGTGGGGCTCTTCAACATGCCAATCCTTGCGCTCAAGAGCGGCGTTACCCGCCGAAAGCAAATTACGGGCACCTAAGCGCTCAGAGGTCCTGAGCCCAGACAATGTTTCCACCTCCGGCGGTCCCTCATCTGGATTGTCGGGCTCCGAACCCGCCTTGAAAGTGACAGATGCTGCGCAAGGCGCAAGGGCTTTTAACCATCAAAAGATCTGCACCAGCGCTGACAGGCCACCTTGTGTATGTCAGACTTCATGGGGCTCGGAGACTTGGACTTGGAGTCATCCCATGCCGGCTTTGTACCTAAGCAACTCATCGCTCACGGTTATGTTGCAATGATCTAGTCGTTTTCGTGCGCGCTATGACTCTTGAAGCTTTCTTGCTGAACGTGTCAGTGGAACCTGTGTGAAAGCAATGCTCGTGCAAACAAGCAACAGACTATATGGTCGAAGGAGACGCGGGGGCCGTTTGGCTTTGTCGGCAATGCTTCTGCAGAAGGGCACAAGTCTAAGTCAGCAGTGACGCCACATCATGATGCAGTGGCCCAGTCCCGAACAAAACGATAACAAGACAAGGGTGGAGGTCCTGGAGCAAACGGATGATCAATTTCCAAGATCTCCGATTCCAGCAGGTCCTGAGTAGCACTGGCAGGGCCTGGCCCAAGAAAACTATGAAATTATGAAAGGTCATGAAAGCCAAGCTCCTTCCGACTTCCTCTGGCCTTTAGCTCTTGCACCTCCTTGTCCAGCCTGTGGTTCTCCTGGCAACATGAAATACTCGGACCCTGGCACATCTTATCAAGACACACTTCCGACTGTTGGCATGTATCCCTCCTCCAGAAGATCCTGACATTGCTGCGTCAGGTCCATGAGGCAGCGATTTAAGCGGCTGCCAGCCGCCATGAGTTCGTACACTCGCTATATTTGCTGGTTTTCTGACTGGGTCCGGAGATGTGCAGCCCGGCAGGATCGTGAAGACTTGTGGCCGGTCGCTCCGCTTAGGGGTTCAGCGTGATGGAATGGCTCTCCAATGCTTGTGTCTCACGATGTGTCGTGCACTGGCCTTGGTCCCAGCCCTGAAGCAATGCTGGCCTTGAGCCGCCCACATTCGTTACAACTGTGCGGCAGCATGGCAGCATGAACGAACCAGAGGGAGATGACGAGATGACGACTGAATTCTTCATCCGCATGTCGGCGCAATTGAGCCGCCGCCTGCGTGTGCGCAAGATGCCGACCTTGTCGTATCGCTGAGAGGTGCTCGAGCCTCTGCAAACCATCCGACTTGAAAAACCGAGGCGTCCAACTAAAAATCGGTCACACGAAGTTGCGACTGGCAGCTGGGTTTTCTGCAGATCTGTTTGTGCAAGCTCTGAAAGGTGAGCTTGCCGCGCCACCTGAACAGTCAGCATTTGATCGCTCACCAATGACGCCGGGAACGCGGCGCGGCGCACAGCCTGCGCAACATCTCCCGTCAAAGCCTCCAGAACGATGCTTGCATGCATACATGATGTGATCATGAGCCAGAGAACAAAAAGATACCAAATTCCAAGTAGCAGGCCTGTTCGAGCTCAGGATCTTCCCGCAGATCCGTCTCCAAGATTGTGCCCAAAGCAACTTCAGCCTGCAATGCGCGTCATGTTGTGTCGCCCCTAAAAATGGTCTTAGAATGATTATTCAGAACGAGGGCAGTCGGCAGGGTCTAGTATCAGGAGCAGGGAACGGCGACACAGATGACATGTTCTGTTTCTCCTCTCAGGCACGTCCTGCACGGAGCCAAGTTATCTCTAAGATATCTCTGTCTATGCCGCTTATACATCTCTCGCCTCTCCGTCTACTAGGTGACGCGTTCATGTCGTTGGCATGCGCATCACGCACGTACGTGACTTCTGAAAACTCACACGCCGGTGCGATCTTGTTTTAAAACGCTCATGTTGGGTTATCGGGTCCGTTGGTATGGCTTAATCCTAAAAGGCAGTATGACGCACTTACTGGCGTGTGCACGACATGCCCAGGTCGTAGGCTGTAGACACGGGGTCTCACGGGTGATGCCCTGTAGCTATTCAGGATGTTTGTCTTGCAGTGCTTCTTGCAACGGCACTGCCTCTGCAGACGTGGGAGCGGCTGCTGCCCGTGCTAGAACCGCGTCTGGCACGACCTGTGCGGACGCTGCTGGAAAGAAGCTTGCATCAGCAATCAAAAGCAAGCTTTTCGAGCTTCTGACCCATTGTGGGGACCTCGGCAACAAATGCAGCAGCTTGCACCGGACAACCTTCTAAGATTCTAATAAGCTTCACTGCTATGATAGGAGGGCTTCAGCGTGCACGCAATGAGCGAAGAAAACCGTTCACGCCGATACGCCGCCCCCCCTCCCCCGCTCTCCCCCAAGATGCACCCCTACGTTGAGGAAGAGATGCCTAGCTTTCTCTGGGCCTGTTTTGGGGGTGTGCATGCACAGCTGGTCATTCACAACCGCTGGCATGGGCGTAATCATCGACTCGCACATTGATAATACGGACGTAATCATTGTGCAGGCATGGATGCGCTGCTCCTTCGAATCCGCTGGTATGACATGGACGTAATCATTCTGCGGACATAGATGTTCTGGCCATATGGTCTTCAACGAGCCGCCACTTGAGCCGCCCATCTCTTGAATGGTGGAGTATTGCGCAGCCCTCGGTCGGTGGGTGTATCGGTGCATTGCCGCAGTCCTGCACCGATTGGGTCCCCCTAAACCCCGTGCGCCAATCGTCTGGGAACCGGTCTGTATCGGTGCATTTCGATTTTTCTGCCGCCGTCTGTGCCCTCTCTGGGCGTTGCTCCTACACCACTTACACCACGGAGCACCCGTGATGGTAGATATGGATTCACCGCAGCGATTCGTAGACTAGTTTGGGGATCTCATGATTGAGGGATCAGCGCACCTTAATGAAGCGCCTGGGAAGAAATCTTTCAGGCTGCGCTGTCATGCTGACAGCTCGGGAGAGTGGTACCCACCCCCATCCACCCCCTTAACTTACAAAGCAGCGCCCCGTGCAGAACTAGACTGCGTGACGCTCAACCTCCACAGAATGCTTGCACCGTCAAGGCCCAGGCACATCAGCAAGTTCAGCCACTTGGTTGCGCCATGATGCCAACCCCTCAACCTGGGTCCATGCGCGCAGATGTACCACAATGGCATCAAGAAGCTCCCAGTCGCTTTCCGCACGTTCTCAGGTCGCACCTTCGTGCGGCAGAAAAGCCCCGCAGCGTTCGGAGACTTGTTCTGCCTAAACTAATTAAGTTTTGAAGGCGAGCGGGCCCAGGTGCCAGCAAAAGCACCGGCAAAGAAGAAGAAGAAGAAGAAGAAGAAGAAGGAGAAGAAGGAGAAGAAGGAGAAGAAGGAGAAGAAGGAGAAGAAGGAGAAGAAGGAGAACAAGAAGAGGAGGTACGGTAGATCATGGGGTGTTCCACGACAACGGCTGCAGAAGCAGTCCCGGATATTCCAGATCCCGAGTCCGGATCAACAGGAAGTAACTTACAACAGTTTCAGCCTCCGGCCGCAAACCAAACAGCGAGAGTCGGGTGAGCAAAGTGTACGTCCCAAGTGCGAGGGAGCAATACACATGCCAGCCTTGGGAGTACAGCACATACTACGAGGAGCCAACTGACTGCAATGAAAAACGTTCTGTCGGATTTTAAGCTGGACTGTTCCAGGAATGAAGATTGCAATGAAATCTGAGGGCCAGGTGTGCGAAGCCCAACTTGGCCAATGGTGACCTTGTCAGTTGTTATCCTCAAGCGGATGATTCAGCTTTCTGTGACAACCGGGGCGTTTCATGATAGGACACAACATGTGTGGCCTGTTTATGTAGAAAAACACACTTCCACCACAGCGCCAAGCTTATAGAGCGGACGATATTCTACCCCCCTCCCAAGCATGCCTTGGAGGTATACACATCTCGCACGCTCTTGATTGAATATGATTGAACCCTAACATTCGAAGTGCAGAGACTTTTTCCACGCGTGGCATCTAGTTCATACGCGCCGATGTTCCAAGCCATCGTTTGACCACTTATGAGTCGGATAGGGTTTCTGCAGCACCATTTTCGGAGAGCGAATATCGGGCGCCATCGTGAAACATGACACAGCACCGCAAGCCCACGACTCCACGCAAAACCCAGCACCCCAAAACCCCCAGAACCGTTTACCCGCCTAGCTGACATTCAGGCCACATTGTAGGGACTCATTCCAGCAATATCCATACATCGCAGACAGCAGAAAATGTGCCTTTGACGGAAATGCAGACAATCAGAAAATCTTTCTCGAAGACATTTCAGCCACCCCCGGTGGATCTAAGACAAGCGAAAGCAAAGAATTTCAAAACTCGCTACACCATAAGCTTTGTTGTCCTGTCGTGGTCTTCAAGGCACTACAATGACTCAAGCAAGGTACAGGTGTGGCGATAGTCTTTTTGACAGGGGCTTTCGTCTTGCAGCAGAGGGTTTTGAAAGTTTGGGTTTAGGGTGTTAGGCGGAATCATCGCAGGCCGAGCAGTTGGCTGAGGTTCATGTCGAGTGATGCGGAAAAAGCAGTTCTCCGTTGGCAAACGGTTTTCCTTGCGGAGAGTGGCACATTGCTTTGATGCGAATGGGACAGAATGATCTTGCCAGGGTGCTCAACGGAAGAGTTTAATTCACGGACAACCACAGGTCTCAATCTGAATGCTGCAGAAAGGGCTCGGTTCAAAGCGGCTTGATATTACTCCCGGCTTGGTACGTCTAGCTGTTGACGTGCCCCTGCCTTGAATCGCATCCCGTATTCTCAGTAGCATTATGTTTACGTTTACAATCGTATCAAATCGTGGCATACAGGCTCAGGTTGAACAAGTTGAACATATCATCTTCGAATTGTCTGTGGCGCTTGCATCAGCTGAGCGCATCGGCGAGGCCTGAGAACGGGATCGTGTTAAGCATTTTTAAGCTATGTGGCCCTCACCACCAACTGACATGCCAAATCAGTCGGGTGCAGCAGAGCCAGCAGTGATTCGGAGTGCTTTGCGCAGAGTGGTACCTGGTGGGGTGGTGTCTGCCCTACTTATCCGCTGATGGCTCTGAGAAAACTCCCCTCTCCCCTCCCATGCACTTGCAAGAACCTCAAAACCCGTTAGGATGAGCTTGGTTCCTCCGTCGGCTGCCCGCGCCATAGTTTGTCACCAACGGCTCCCAAGTGACGCGCAGCTGTGAGCTGCAAGCCAAGTACCGGACCTCCTTGTTCATTGTGGTCTCAGACTAGACTGCGCTGAGGGCAGGCACAGGGTTTCCACTTGTCAGGAAGGACGAAAAATAGAGAGTGTTTTGCAGAGTGGCTCCAGGAATACCCCTCACAGCCCTTACCAGGCGTGTTTCGAAACCCTTCAACGCAAACCCTCAGCTGCCTGAACTGAACCAAGCATTTTGCGCACGAACCCTACTTAGTGGGCTCTATAGCCACCGCATGCCACCGCCGCCTAGCGGGCTCTGCAGCACTTGGCGCCGCTGATTCATGGTCGTCGTCGACGTCGTCGTCCGACGGTCACCCACCTACCAACTTCGCCTTGCGCCCAAGCCCCGTTTCTTGTCGGTTCGGGGCACGCCCGGCTGTGGGCGACAGCCCCCTTGGATTGTCAAATTCGGAAAAGCCGGACAACAAGCTGCTCTTGCCTCGTGATGGCAAGCTTCCTGGTCGATCTGCGACTGTGGAAAGGCGCTGCCAAATCGAGGTGCCTGCACGCAGTAGCCGTTCAGACGTAGTTAGTGAAAACAAAGCCGCTTCGGCGTGAGACACTCTGTGCTCCGATTAACAAGCAACTGTAGCTCTCAGCAGCACTCCGACTGGCGTTTTGAAGGCAATCCCGCCCTGTTAACCGTCAGACACCGGTTGAGGACTTTATTCCTTTTCGCCCGCAGGTTCTCTGGCATGGTCAGAGCCATTCAAGGTCAGGCACATCACTTCCATCCAGAGCAACCCCCACTGCGTCGAATGCACTTCAACAAATGCACACGTGCGCAGCTCTGGGCTCAAGCGGCTCAAGGTCTTTCGGTGTGATTCGGAGAGGACTGGGATGACGCGATATTGCGTCCATTGTGCAGTTTCCAGTCTTGCAGAATCCAACTGGCTAGGCCGGATGCAACCCTGAACCGCGCGTCGTGGAGATCTGAGTGTGAGGTTAATTTAACTGAACCACATGGGACAGACTTCCCCTGGCCTGATTTGTCTACAGTATCGATCCAACTGGTTCTTCCAGTCGTTCTGCCACATCTTTGCCATAGCGGCATGTCCCCCTCGCTGAATACTAGCTTGGTTCGAGGGGATGCCATGTAGGCAGAAGTTCAGCTTTTTTACAGGGATCGAGAAGAGAAGGGGAAGCAATCAGCAGATCAAGCTGCAAGTGTCACATCAGTAACCTAGCCTGAACCTGCACAAAGCTTTGCGACTTGAGAGGGTGTTTGCCATTCCTCAGCATCCAAATTGAACATGCCACCCTGTTCCCTCACAGTCTGCCCAGTTCAAGTGCATGAAAGAAGGCAAAGCCCTGAGCACAGTGCAGGCCAACTCCAACCTGGGCTGAGTCATGCTGAGTCACATGGCCAGGCCCAAGACATGCACAAAATATCGCAAGAAAATCGCAAGCCTTCGCTCCCGGACATCAGAAACCTCGGCGCAAGGCAACGGCAATACTCTGAGCTCTAGCTTGCGTTTAATGTGTGTCTTGCTCATCTGTTATTGTGATTTAAAGCCCTCGGGACTCACAGCCAAAGTGTTGACCTGTAGATTTTCATTGTAGATCTTCTAGCAAAGCTCCATTCCAGGCAGCAGCCCTGAGCTGAGCAGTGACCAGGTGCTACAACTACTCCAAGGTGCCGGGGGGCACTTCTGAGCAGTATTGAGCAGTCGAAAGTTGATCCAATGTCAGCAATTTCATTTTACCGTGCTTTCACTTTAGGAGGAGCCCATCCCCGATCACACGTCGCAGTTGAATGGGACAGACGCCCACACGCCCCGCACACTTCATTGTGGCCACATGTGAATCTTCCAAGGACCATACTGCCTGCGTGGCTCGTCAAGACTTGTCTCCACCTGAAATGCGCTGGTCGCATTATTTATTGCTGTCTCTGGCTGTTCTTGATTGGCGCTGACTGCTTTGTTGAGCAACTGGCGTGACATACCCAATTCTTGCCTGATGCTCGCTTTTGTCCAAGCACGGCGATTTGAACTTGTGTCAAGCTAGAACGAGACATGCAAATGAGTCAGCTTTGACGTTTCATCGAAGCCGAGAGTGCTATCAGCTATCAGGCTTGAAGGCCAAGTCTGCACTTCACGAGTTTGAGCTGTACAGGAAGTCGAGGAACAATTTGAGAGAAAATATTTCAGCGTCTTCTTGCAACTTCAAGGCGTCCAGCAAGCGATTCGCATCCTGAAGTGTGTCGACTTAGCCCAGGGGCGAGCTCTGATTCCCACAGCTGACAAAATCACTCGGCCTTCTGACTGACATGTAAATAAAGCCCAGTGGCAGATGCCCCCACACCGATGCATTGCATGACCTTTGGCAGGCAGTCAGTGCATGTTGGTTCAGAGGTTACGCAGCCGTGCTATCATACTCTGTGTGATGGCATGTTGTACAGCAGTGCCCACCAGCATGCAAAGCACGGGCAATAGAGAAATGACACCGCCTGACACCATCTGACTGTGAGGGCTGTGAATGGCTTGCAGAAGCCGCCGAAGCCGCGGACCAGCAATGAATGCGTGCATGGAGCTGGCTTCGTTTCATGCATGAGACCAGAACCCGCTCTGCCGGATCTTGTCAAATTTACCCGTGCCAAGACAAGGTGTGTGGACGGACGGATGGGCCGACCGGGTGGGTGGATGGATGGATGGATGGACGGATGGATGGATGGATGCATGGGCGTGTCCATGTGGCTGTACGGAAAGTGTGCTTGTGGATCATGCCAAGTGCAAGTTCCACCGATTCCGTGCAACACTGCCAACGACGCCCCTGAGAACGGCATGACTTGTCTTTTGACTGGCTTGACTAAGTACCAAGGTGCCATCATTAGCTGATCCACTGAAAAGAACGATGGCATTGACTTGGCTTTGCCTGAGGGAGGACATGCATCATGCACGGCTTCAACTTCTCTTCCACTCCTTGTTCTCTCCTTGTTCTCTCCTTTTCCCCTTTTCCCGAGTTGCTGAAGGCCATCTCCACGCTCTGCCGGCCAGACAGCTTCCTGTCTTGCTGCAACAGCCTGGGTGATCTCACCGAGACAACTGCACAGAAGCAGAGGGCGGGCGGACGCACTGACAGACACAAAGAGACAGCTGTATAAGTTTTGAGTTGTCGTCCGCCTTTTGTGGTCGTAGCTCAAACGGGTGATGTTCGCGAATGGAATCAAAACACCAAACCAGAATTTCTGCAAAGGACCAGGTCACAAAAAAAACAAAGCTGAGTAAATATGCCCTTGTCCGACAGTCACAGCCCTAACTCCAGAATTGGCACAAAATACGCTTTGACAAATTTTAAGCTCGATATATCCAGCCTGAACCAGCCTGCCTAACTTGACCTTTAAGCCCTCCCTTTGACAGTTGTCCTTGCAACTAAGAGTAGCTCCCCCAAGCCCCACCGGACGCCTGTAAACTTAATCCGCCGAGGTGTCGGGCTGTAGGTGTCTGGGTGGCATAGAGTCCTAAAGCAAGCAGCACCCCTTTGTTTGCCTGGAACGTGTACCCCGCGTGGGCGAAAGGTGTCCGGGGGCGCACACAAAATTCTGCCGCCCCTTCAAACCACCTTTGCTCTGCTCCACCCTGCCCACACCCCCTTCAACCCTACTCCCTCCTCTAATTTTTCCCAGCCGGCTTATTTTATTGTAGTATACCTGAGCCTGCATGTTACAACAGGCTTCACACCTGCGATCTCCGGTTTGGGTTGCCTTGCGCCCGAGGCCGGTCGCGCAGCGTGAAAATTGGGGCGCGCTCCCCAACCTATCCTGCCATAACCTGCTTTCACCACTGCCTCGTCACGCCTTCAGAGAGGCCAAGCATCATTCGCTTTTTTCGGCCCACCAAGCAGACTAGACACGCATCGTTGCGCTTCTGCCACCTGCCTAGCAGCCTCGCAACCACACTGCAGGGATGCAAACGTGCATCGTTGCGTTTAAGGTGCAGGGTTTAAGCTTAAGACATCAGGTTGGAGAGGCTTTTTGGGGGCCTCAACCGGTAGATTTTTTCTGAAGGGGTCAGGGTGGGTGGGTCTACAAATATTCGAAGGAACAAACCACGTAAGGGAAAGGGGACACGGATCATCAATTCGTTTTGTTTTGGGCGCTGCAGAGAAGATGATTCGTTTGCTTTTCGCTTTGTTTTGACGAGATGAAGAGCCGGGCGGCATTCAAGGGCGGGGAGGAGCGGGGGGGGGGGGGGGGGCGGAAGTAGGTGTCTGCAACCCACACCCCGCCTCCCCCGCAATCCCCACACCGGTGATGGGAAAATGAGACGTGTGTGGCATGTTCGGGTTCTTTCAGGGGGGTGGGGTGGAGGATCATCCCCACTGAGGAGAGGAGGGTGGAGTCCCTCGAGGCCTCGAAGTTCCAAGCCGGAGCCACCTCGCGCCTGCTTGCCTCACAGACCCTCATATGGGTACTATTAAAGCAAATGCGCACAAAGTGTTGTGCGATTTCTTATTTGGGCTTTAGCTTTAAGGCTTGTCCCGACCTCCCGAATCTAACGTAATCTAAGCTGAACTACAGAATCGTCAAGGATCTGTATTCGAGCCCATGTAAACTCGAAATACTCTACCATGCATGCTTGGCTGATGGAGTCTCATCTGAGTACTCTGCTTGCAACTAATGTGTCGCGTTTAGCCAACTGTTCTCTCATGATTCTCTTTGCGATCACGGACCCCGAATTCCACCTAGACCGCAGCCACCTGTGCTTTCTGATTCGCTTCATGGGTTTTCTGAGCCATGGACGTCCGATTCGAAGTGACTTTGACTCCGTCAAGCCCCCAGCTCAAACTGCGCATCTGCTTCCAATGCTGCTTTCGACGTACTGACGTCAGCTACAGTAGATCTTGAGTCTGCCGACATCTTGTGCGCATCATGTCGCAGAATCTGTTTCTAACCTTTCTCAAATCCTGAACTCTGGCATCTGAGTGACGGATGGCTGCGCAGACTTGCTGCAGACGGCCTGGCATCCGGCTCCTTTCAGCAGCACCACATTTAAAATTCCTTCGCCAGCAACTGACATGGAACATGAACAGCATGAAGGGACTGAGCCTTCTGGAGAAGTCCACCAACCAGGTTGCATAGCTTCTCATTGAGAAGCGCCGCACCAGGTGTCCCAGCCACCAGGTATTGCAAATCAAGTTGCTCTGCGGATGCCAACCATCCTGGAGAGGAATGGAGCAGCGCTTGCATCAAAGAATAGCCCTGACCTTTGGCAACCCCTCAGCGTTTCTCTGAGTAATCTGTCAAAAACGTGTGTGTGTGTGTGTGTGTGTTTGTAGCAAGGCTTTTCAGAATCTGTCACACATGTGTGGGCCTACTTGACGGTGCGTTTTTCGCGTACGAGGCCAGGAATCTGCGAATCATCTGGTCTGACTACGAATCTGCGAAACCATCCGTGGTTGTGGTGTATTTGTGGGTCTGCGAATCACCTTCTTTGCGGGACATCCGGCCCATCGACTCTCTCGGATCGTCGGCCCCGGGTGCTGAGGGCCATGGGTGGATTCCAGCATATTCCAGCCTTCCAGCATATTCCAGCCCTGCACGTGCCCGAAGAGACTGCAATGACATCGCGGCTTCGTAGATTCACAAAGGCATCAGAAAGCCACACCGCAAACTAGCCAAGGACTCTTCACACATTCTTTAAACGCGACGGCATCGTTAAAAGCATAAATGCATCACAGATCCTGAAGCTTCAGAAAAATTGGCAACAATAGATCAGGGGTTCATCCTCAAACTGCTTCAAACACGAATTCTTGGATTCGTCGCTTAACATCCAGAACATGCACCAGAGTCGCGATACCAGCCCTCAGAAGGAATGGTGTCTTCGAACAGATCCACCAAGTCTAAAGAGGCCTTCCCGGTGGCTTCAATTGTCTCACTGTCGCAGTGATTTGCAAGGGCATGACAAGATGCCACGCCTTTGTCTCTGCAAAGCAGCAGCCCTGCACCAGAACGTCGAGTAGAACAACCTTAAGCTCATCTGGTGCGCTCTACACTCGCCCTACCATGCGCCAGGGGCCGATTCTCCAATGCCTACCTCACCAGCGACAAAACCGTGCAAGTACATGGCTCGCCTGGGCTTGTGTTGAAGCTACTGCTCTTGAACCATTCAGCCCTCAAGCGTCTTCAAGCGTCTCAACACAGGCAAGCCACCCCAGCCGCCCAGAGGTCAATGGCAGGGTTGGCACGTGCTAGCCCTGGTGGTAGCACTGGCAGCGACTGTTGGGGCCCTTCAGGCGCCATCGCAGCCAAGGCGGCACAGGCCAGCTCGGGGCTCGCGTACAGGGGTGTAAAGTTGCTAGGCGACACGACAGCATGCATTGACAGGCAACTTCCAAGGTCTATCAGCTTCCAAGTGGGCCCAAAGCGCATGATATTTGCAGGCTTGACATCGAGGTGGACGAAGCCCAGACCATGCAGAAACTCCAAGGCGGCAAAAAGCGATCGGGCAATTTCGCAGAGGCTACCCATTTGAAGGAATCCCGTCGTCCGCAACCACATGTCCAGGCTTTCATCGCCAAGCTCTAAGATCATGTAGAACTTGCCATCCTCTGCTGGACCCGGAATCCCACCGTTTGTCGAGAAGTCCAGCAGATTGACAAACAGCTGCCGCGGATTCAGCTCCTCTATCTCCTCTGCTTCTCTCGCTAAGTTCTGTTGAGCACGAGGCCCCACGCCCAATGTTTTAAACATCGCCACTTCCTCATCGAAGCGGCTTTGCAGGCTTTGGCCATTCGATGCGGCTCGTGTGCGGAAGGTCTTGACAGCAACCGGCGTGCCATTGGTCGATAGCGCCTTGTAGACGAGACAGGAGCCGCCTTCGCCAAGAAGAGCGTCGCTGGAACCACTCCAACCTGCGCACAGGACAGACTCGTACACAACACTCCACTTTTTTGCAATCCTGTGATTGATACGCATGGTGACCTCAGCGCTCTGCAGCATCTTAGTTTGCGTCATGTCACTATAGCGCTCCAGCAAGGTCGCGGGTTTGCTGGAAATTGTGAGGTCGGCCATGTAGGATTATGCCACGCGCTGATAGACAGCCGCAGCATGCTACCTCGCATGCGAAGTCAGCGGCATTGCTCCGGCATCGAGATGAGTCGTGGATCTTGCTTAGGTGGGGCTTTGTCATGACCCCAAGCCAGACTTGCCAAGTGTACTCCAAGTGTGAATGTCACTTGATTGATGGTATGCCAGGCATGCTTGCAGCATTTCTTTGCCACGCATGAACTACCAATCCATGTGGTTCCATCGAGCCCAGCTGCTGCAGCTTAGGAAGAGCTCGCTATAAACAACCTGGCTATAAACAACGACAGGCAAAACTGGTACAGTAGGTGCAGGATGTGCTGCCGTACCCAGGTGTTCGTCTCGAAGTCCGATGGGCGTAGCAGCACTGCCACGCGCAGCAAGAATGCAGCCTCGCAGAGGGCACCTGCAAGCGCCCTGCTGCAGCAACACAGCACACAAACCAAGATCTGCGCGATTCTGAGTAGAAAGTAGGCGTCAGCTGCAGCATAAGCCACCTCACCAAGAAAGCAGGCCAGCAGACTATGCAGCATGTAAGAGCTGTCGAACAAGACGACGCCTGGATGGAGGAAAGCGGGCGCCGCCGCCAATCCGAGCACTGCAGCCGCGACTTCAGGTTCGCGGTCGCATGCATATTGCAAAACACAGACCTGAGAGGAGCTTGGACGCGCGACCAGCGTTGCCGTTATCGGATTGACTTGAAACCTCTGCTTTCTGCTTTGCGCCCCCGCCATTGATCCGTCAATCTTTGAATGGGACAGCAAAGAAGTTGGGCGAGAGCCTTCGGTGGAGCCACGAGCTCATGGCAAGCACCCTCTGCAAGATGCCATGTGCTCGTCCTGAGTGTCGAGTTTGCACCTGCCAGCCATGGGCTAACTGCTTTATTCAAAGCCAGGAGCTCCAGGCCTGATGACAATCGAGAACTCCTCGGGGTCGCAAGCAGAAGCAGCTGCACATCAACTGCTCATGCTGAAGCATCCTTGTGCAGCCAGGAGATGTCGTTGGCCGCTGCGTGGAACACCTTGCAGCTCATCTGACAGGGCCAGCCGCCTCACGACCTGAATTCCTGAAACCTTAAACCCTAGACTTCCACAGGCCCCCCCCACGCCCGCCCCTCACCCCGATGTTTTCGGAAGCATTGTCTGATGTTTGATATTTGTTGCTGTAAACGATCACCACCCCCTTTTCTCCATCTCAGATAGCCAGCTGAAGACTTGGAAAGGCCGCAATTTGCACGGCTTTCCGCCGGGGCCGGGGCCGCAAATCGCGGTACCAGTAGTATGTGGGGCGGGGGTGACTTTTGACTCGGAAAATACACGACAGATTCGGAAGGTTTCCTCTACGAAAGGTGTTCAGGTGGGGAGGGACATGCAGTCCCTGTCTCAAGCTGTTCCCGCCCCGGATGACGTCCCACTCGCCTTTATCTGTGACAGGTTGCCTTTACCAGAGCTGTTGGTTCCGGCTTACTCGGTATTCAAATGAACAATCCTTGGCGAAAAGCTTTCCGAAAGCTGGCTCGGTCCCCTCTGACATTGCCATGAGGACGCCCAGGTCTTCGGTGGCTTTCTCTGTTGTTGGTTTCCTCTGGCCAGGGGCAGGGTGCGCCAACATGTTTCCGACGGTGTTCACTTCTCTCTCTCTCTCTCTCTCTCTCTGCCTCTCTCTCGCAGACTCTCAAGCTAGCAAGCTAGCGCAAGCCAGCAAGCTAGCAACTCTCCAACGGAAAAAAGTAGAGCTGGGGACGTGGTACCAGTAGGGTCTGCACAGGCACCCGCACTGAAACTTCAAAAGCAACAGTCTCTGAGTTTGTTGTTGCTTCTGTCGTGTGTTTTGCATGTTGCGGGTTTTGTTGTTTTGGCGCGCTTGTTTTCTGGATTTGGGCTATGTACCCTCACGGAACATGAACGTTGAACCAATCAGACAGCCTGAAATACTGCAGAACCTCACCCCGCACCCCTCCTTGGCCTTTCGCCAATTTCAAGGGTTGAGGAGCTCCAGTGGTGACTGTACAAGCAAAAGCAAGACTCAACTGAAGCCCGCTGCTTGTGCCGGGGTTCGCAATTTCTACGAGGTGACGGGGCGAACCGAGTCCTGCTGAACCCTTGCTGCTTCGCCTCACAGTCCCCAAACCAAGCCCCCTGCCTTCAGGATGGCAGGGTTTTCCAGCACCTGCTTCCAAACAATTCTCGCGATTTGTGAAGATGCACAAGAGCTCCGTCCATGTATTGGATGGCTGAGATTGTCTTCCCAAATTAGAAAGTACGGCTCGCACCTCTCTAGCCAGAAGCTCGTGAATCCTTCTTCATTTAGTCTGGGTATCATTACGGACCAAATAATCCACACGACACGCCAGAATGGGAAAAAGATAGTTGCACAACTTGGCAACATACCTCGTCAAAAGGCAACCCCTAAAACCACGCCTTGCCAATGTAGCCCTTGACCTGCATGCTGAAACTGCGCTTGTCAATCCAGACTGCCAAGTGTCCATGGATGTACTTCGCTACTAGTCTGTGCCCACGGATGGAAAGCCCTCACTTTTCAAGTTCAAGTTCCATCTCTTCCCAGTTGCTGAGCGTCATGTTAAGGCTCATCTTTCTCAACTTTCACCAAACATGTAAACACTGATCATCCATCTAATTTAAAGTAGCAGTAGCCTTCGGGACCTCCCATCCTGCCCGGTTGATCTGTGTCGGCTGCTGTCCGCTTAGATGACAGAACTCACTCAAGCCAGAAATCGGAGCATGTTGGATCCACATGTCCGATCCAAAGTCCTAGTCTCTGGCTTGCGGACAAGCTCTAAGTACAGCGGTTGCTAATCCAAGCCGCAAGACGTATGTGTAGATCCGTAGCGCCCCGTCTGGCAGGAGCAAGTAAGGCAGCGGCGTCTTCTCGTGAAAGGCATAGACAATCTAGCAGGAAGACCTTGCCACCGGCCTGGTCGCCCATGCTCGGCAGGCTCGCGAATCAAGATAATTACAAGAACCATGTTCCGTTGCGACGGCTTTACAACTTTACGCACATGGCATCGCTACAAGCTCTTTCGACCTGTGGGAGTTCGTTCCATGTTTTTCGTTGGAACGCGTTGCTCCCTAAGTGCTCTTGCTCACTGTGCACTCTTGTGAGCGCACGCGCGCGCAGGGAGCGCGTGCAACGAAGTCCGCGGGGTGGCATCCCCTGTCTTGGACAGATAGGTTTAATGCAAAATTGTCCACCCACCACACTGTGCGACTATCTGCGAACTGGGTGGCCGAACAATCCTCGGCCCGTGACAATTTTCCTTTGCGGACAGGCCTCCTGAATGTACAGGGCTGCCTTCATCCATGGCGTTACCTCTTGCCAGATGCCCCCGGCACGACGCCGCCATGAAGTCTGAGCAACAACAACCCATGTTCCTCACAGACGCCAAGCCTGGCAGCTGGCTTGGCAGTATCAGGAGGACGAGCGCAGCTGCCCTGAACTTCTGGCATCGGTCATTCCCGCCTCAGATTCTCTTTTAGCTCCTCCCCTTTTGGAGACTGAGGAAGCCCTATTTCTGCAGCAGCTTCCGGCCACACTTACCATTGTGGCCTTTGGTTCGGGATAAGCAGTCAACCATCATGTCCACACAGTAGCTACTCATTCTTGGTTTTATGTGCTTTGCGTATTTCATGTTCGTGTTGCCATAAACGGAAAGTGCCGCTCCCGGGCTTGTAGCAGCTTGTGACATCTCTAGCTTTCTCCATCCCTGCACCCGTGCCAGCTTTACCTGGCTTGCCCCATGCTTCACAATGTGCTTCGCTTCGAGACTCAGCATTCTCATCTTTCAATAAGTTGCAGGTTCACGGGCACGTGCACCATGAATTTTGTGGCAAGGTGCATGGGAGTTCACTGTCTCGTGTCCTTCCCTTCCCTCCTTCCTTCCTCTCCTATCGATCTCCGGTTTCGAGCTTCTGCGCTTTCTTCCTTGGTTCATTTTGCTGCCATTTATGCATGGTGCTTACTTTCGGCTTCTTAATGCTTAATCATGCCCCGTCATCACTGACCTGCCTTTGCAGTGGAGAGCTGGATCAAGCACACATACCCTCCAAGAGGGGAGCAGATAGGCATGGGATTGTTGAGCTTGGTAAACATTGGTAGGCATGGCCCGTCTTGCCTTCGTAAGATTGTAGCCAATGCCGCTCAACCTGCAAAACATCTGCACACCGGACTATGAGGAAATTGTAGCAATAACACACTCGATTGCAGCCACACAAGTCTCTCCAAGGCTCTGTCATCGACACCCACTACAGGGCTGCTGGACAACACATTGCTGCAACGCTCAAGCGCATCCAGCGTGTCGACCTGCACGCAGTTCGAGCCGGAACCAAGATGCACAGCAGTGAAGCTTCAGCAGCCAAGCTTCGGGCAACTTCAATGCAGCTTTCTGCGTTCAAGCTCCGGGTTGTCTCAAAATCACATGCCTCTCGAGACCACCCGCCACTGCAGCAGCAGGCGCCAGCATTTCTGAAACACAAAACAACTTACGACGGTTACGATTGGTCATGGTAGCAGGGTGCCTTCAGGCCGAGTAGAAGCTCTTGCAGCTTAAGCCCGGGGCTTCTGGCCTCAAGAAGGTGACAGTGGCAACATTCAACATATTCAACTTTATTCTCTTCAAGAGCATCAAAGTGCGGCCATGCCTTGTACCCACTCAGGGCATGGTGCAACTCATCCGTCTGCATGCTGACGGCATGATATCTACAAATAGAACGTACCGAACTCTTGCGCTTGTGCTGATGTCTTGCCCATCTGTCGCTAAAACGTTGATTGACTAGCAGTGCGAAGCGAAGCTGGAGCCCAAGCAGCATACCGAACATGTTCCTGTGACTTTGTTTCTGACTTGGCTCCCTTTCCAAACTCATCAACAATGCTCAGCAAAGGTTGTTTTCGGCTGGTGTCCTGCGCATGCCTTTCGACCCATGACGTGTGCAATCGTGTGTGCACTAGTTCTCAGGACGGAAGATTTGGAGCACACTTCCCTTCCGTGCTGGTGGGCATCGAGGCGTCGATCTGCTCTACCTCACCTGGCCTTGCCACTGGTAATGGCCTTGACATACGATGCCTTAGGCGCACGCACCATGCAGATTCCCAGAAAGCACGAATCGCAAGAATCAACTCGCCTGGAACCACTGCGCAGCCCTCGTGCGTAGACTGGGTTGGCCTGAGTAGACCTCTGAGTAGACCTGATGCTGTCAACCTGTAACGACTTCTTTATCATGGCCACAATGCTATCTGACACTTGCATCGTAAAGGCGGCTTCTATGTCAAGGCTCATTATCCAGCATGTCTGTGTGATGTGCGCTCATGTGCTGCGATATGCCATGCCGATCTGACAGCGAGGCACGCAGACGGATGCCACATCCCATTTGTAGTCGGGAAGGACGGCTTGGAAGCGGTAGACATAGTACAGCACCTGTGCACCAAGGCTTCGCTTCTGTGGCTTGACGATCACTTCACATACTTCACCGTCTTGCAAAGCCCTTGGCACCCAGGAGCAGCTCACCAAGATCAAGAGAAAGGACCTCAATAGGTATCTCCCCATATCTCTCAATGCATCTCCGACTGCATGGGATATTTAACTATTCTGTTTCGCTTCCGCTGAGCGAGCGACGACAGAAAGACACGGTAGTTGGCTGGCTCTCTCCTGAACAGAAGCACGTTTAGAACCGTTCAGAAACCACAAAGCAAACAGGTCCAAACAAGCATAACTTCTGTCCAAGTTTCTTCTGCCAGGGCTGGATGAGGGTGTTCTGGGTTGCACGTTTGTTCCTATCAGGCACTACGCCGGCATACAGCGTGTCCTTCAAAAGGAGGATGAACTCAAGCGCGACCTGCGCGAAACGACTCTTCCACATCGGAGGCTCCATGTATCGAGAGAAAGACGGGATGACATACAAGACAGCTGCGACAAGCCGAGGTGCGGCGTTGAGCAGCAAATCTCCAAAGCTTGGAGTGGCCGCAAGCCAGCGGCATCCGAGCCAGAGCAGGTAAACATCGATCAAGTAACGAGGGACGATGCAAGCGGCCATCAACACTGATTTGAGCACCGCAGTCAGGCCGACAACCACTTCACATTCGCCCTCCCCCTCCACGATAGCATCACGCATTGATGTGATCCTTGCTGGCCAGGGAACATACTTCAGATTGCCATGTATCAACACCTTTTGCTGAAGGTACCTCCCAACTTCAACTTCTCGCGTGCCTACCACACTATGCTGACGACTTTGCTGCTCCAGGCTTCGTTGGCGTAGCCAAGATCAAGCGCACAAACAAATCCCCGCATCGCCGCAGGTCTGCCACGATTGTAAGCGTCCAAATGAACCTGCGCAACGGCTACCAATTTTTCTTAAGGCCGAATCTAAGAATCGAGCTATTTGCTCGGCTTTCTGCATTTGCATTCTCTGAGCTGAGCGGCAGGATCGGCAGCAAGAGCTGGGGTTGCGAGAAGGGGATTCTGCATGCCGAGGCCTGCTCGCTTTCGGTGAGGCGGCCGAAGTTTGCGGGGTCGAAGTACTTCTTGTCCACCCCACGTGGGAAGCCATTCGGGGTCAAATACACGTGCGACATCTCCGCACCATACATGACAAACTCATAGCGGCCGTAGATCTGCCGAATTTCTGTGACCGCGCGGCTTGCGACAAGCTTCTGCATTTGCATGATGATGAAAATCTGCAGAAAGATAACAAAGAGCATCAGCAAGAAAGAGCTGGACAAGCGGGAGATCCGAAGAATCAGACTGCCCTTGCCTTCGATCAGACTGTAGGAATCCCGCACCAAAGTTGCAACCCCTGCACCATACACATCTTCGTCGACATTCTCGGGCTCCCGATCGACAACTTCTGAATCGGAAGATGGGTAGCGCCTCTCGTAGTAGCGCAGCAGGACACAAACCGCGAGCCCCACAATGAAGGATCCGGGAGCAATGACTCCCAAGACGTAGGCCTCTGGTCCAAACATTGGTTTTGCTGGCACCGGAGGCTCGGATGACGGCTCCACAGCCAAGGCATTTGCATTGTTTGCGTGCTCACTCCTCTTCAGAAACTCCGCCCCTGCGTGCGTAAGCAGGGCCACGAGCAGGACACAGCCATGAAGCAACTTCATTGTCATGTCGCTGATTCATGCACTTGAACCAGCAACCTACGATTTTCGAGGGGTCAGCTCTCGCAAGCAATGGTGCAAAAAACACACACACACAAACAAACCTGCAGCGGCATGCTCTTGTTGCACAACGAAATGCCATGCGTACATGAGCGAACATGGAGGGATGATGATGTGATCAGGGCGAAGATAATTGCGATGATGTTAATGACATCACCAAAAATCATGACCATAACAACATACTGTTAGTGATATGCCGGCGCTAGCAAAGCTCCGCAACAACCAAGGGGACCGGCTTCGAAAACTGTCTCTCAGTGTCCGCTTCTTGGCTGTTATGACATGGTGGGAATGCTTGTTAGAATATGATGACAAGCTGAGTCTGCAAGTTGCGTCCTCATTCCGTCTTGGTGTGGCTGCAAACAAGCAAAGGATTAATTTCCACCATTTTGGACACGCTGGCGAACGCAGGGGTCGGTGCTCTGAGGGCGCCCCTACGGAGTTGCCAAGAGTTGCCGATGGCGAACTCAGCTCCGGAATGCACGATTTCGAGACGCTGTGCCAACATGCAGCGCGAACTCGTGATTAAGTCAATTGCCCTTTTGCAGCCTTGATATGCAGTCCAGAGCTGTGCCGGTATGCCGTCAATACACGCGGGGCCGTTTGGCATCCAGGCCACCTGCCTGGTCTCGTTCACGGCACTTTTTCGCAAACGAAATGATCAACGCCGAGTAATCTGAATCCTGACGTTGAGGAGAAAATCTCTCCAACACTGCTTGCTGTACCCAGGGTTGAGAAGACCGTAGAAAGTCAAAAGCTCGCTCGTCCATTGGGTACCTTTGTCGAAATGTATGGAGCGCAACGTCATCGCCGTCATAGCCTGCGTAGCGCTCTTCTCTAAACCGTCCGCCACGTGGAGCCGGTGGAGGAGGTGGCTGGTGCCAAGGCGGTTGGTGGGATGGCTGCTGCATCTGCGGCCAAAGTCCCACTCCCAGATTTCGTGGCTGAGATTGGTAGCCACCTTTCCCCAGCTGTGGTGCAGTCAATTGCGGGGGCAGCCGCTGTTCCCGCATCTTTTTGCAGAAGCTGATCAGCAGCGCGGAATAGTCCGCCTCACCTTCACGTGGAGGTTTAAAGCTCTGCAAAACCTGCCTTCGCACTTCAGGGGGTGAGCTCTGCCTAAGCTGCTACAAGGAATGAAATTTGTGCACCAAGCTTTCCGAACATGCGCAACACAATCAGACCAGCCGGGCCAGTAATGGCAAAGAGACAGATAATTGTGCGTGTCATCATCGAAGGGGTATCGCTGTCGGAACGCTTCGTATTCTGCACCTGGCAACACATGGAGAAGATGGATCCCCATTATGAAACTATGAGAACTTCTGCAACAATGCAAAACCCGCTGGAAAGCGCGTCAGCTGCGCCACTCGGCCCACGACTCATCGGAGAAGTGTCCCAAGATGGAGCTGCCTCACACTGAGGAGAGCCCAGAAACAGCCTTCAGCACATCCTATACGCCTCTCAAGTCTACACTCTAAACGATGTAAATGGGATTTCAAACATGCCATATCATGCCCAACATTGCCCAACATGCCCACATGGAAACTGACTGAACCTCTCACTGACCTGAAGCTGCATCAGCCTGGAGCTCAAAGGACCATGTTGCACCTTTTGCACTTTCCCTGGCCCTAAGCCCTAGCTAGGGGGAGCCACATATGCTCGGCCCAAGGCATTGCGACATCGCTTTGAAAAAGTGATGACGAGAGCGGAGTAGTCCTGACAGCACTGGCCGTCATGCTGAAAGCATCAAGATGTGCAGCTGCACAACTTCTCAACTCCTCTTCGCCCTCCCTTGGAGGCTTGAACGTGCGAAGGATTTCTCTTTGCACATGAGGCGGCGAGGAGACAATGTACCTGTACGCATCCTCAGGGCAATCCATGGCTGCCGGCACCAGTTGCAGCTTACGCAAGTTCCGCAACAGTAGCAGGTGCCCGGGTGCCAATCCCCACATCTTTGGAACAAAGCCTCGGCACCCCGACCCTGAACAAACAGCACAGTTCGTACTGGTAGCAGATCTGTTGGGAGGGCCCAATGTTACGCGTAGCGTTTCTCAAGCTAGAGGTCTGGATGGTCTGGAAACGTCTGGGCCCTGAAAGATCTTCAAGACCTGGGGCTTTGCGCGTTGAATGAGGGCTGTGAAAAAAGTAGCTTGCGGGTAAATCCCGGCATCTCCAAAGTTTCCTGGGCATGGGCTTCCACAATGCCACAAAGCAGAGTCCAATCAAAATGTGGCGAACGGCGTCCTCGTCAAACGGATATCTGTCCCTGAAGGCCTGCCACGATGTCCAGGATGCACTCCCAGACTCACCAGCTCAAGCTCAGTTTCTTGGGGGGCGGGACAAAGGAGAGACAGGTTAAGAAGCCAAAGAACCACCAGCACCCACCTCAAAACAAGGTGCAACTTCCTTGCAACGACTTGTGACGGGGTTCCTTGGACGTTAAAATCTAGATCATCAATTTATCTTGGTATCGTATCACTTGTACTGTCGTGGGCGGAAGGACTGCAGCACTAGTAACGAAAACTCTGAAGGAACATCATTAGTAGCGTTCATCGGTAGCATTGATCTTTGTGCGGTGCTTTTGTTTTGACCTGCTCTCCTTTTCGGCGCGCGCGCCCATCGGCCCGTCGCCGCGCACAGCACCACACGCACACAGACAGGACCTGGGACAGTGGACAGGGGACAGGGGACGACAGGGCACAGACCGGACCGTACCGGACAGACAGACATACAGACACACAGGCAGACAGACCGACAGAAAAACACACACAAACAAACAAACAAACAAACAAACAAACAAACAAACAAACAAACAAACAAACCAACAAACAAACAAACGAACAAACGAACAAACGAACAAACGAACATCCACACCCTCTCTGGGCAGAGATACTCTGGGGTTGAGCACTCCAGGGACAGACACTCTGTCCATGGACACTGTCTGAGGCTGGGCACTCCATGGACGATCTGGGGCTGGGCACTCCAGGGACACTCTGGGGTTGGACACTCCAGGGACGCTCTGGGGTTGGGCACTCCAAAGACACTCTGCGGTTGGGCACTCTGGGGTTGGGCACTCTAGCCATACTCTGGGGTTGGGCACTCCAGGGACACTCTGGGGTTGGGCACTCCAGGGACACTGGAGTTGGGCACTCCAGGGACACTCAAGGATGAGCGAGGAGTAGACCGAGGGGAAGTAGACAGGGCGAGGAGAAGAGTTGAGTTTCAAATCTAACGCCCCCACACCGAGGGTGGGGAACAACAAACAAACAATCAAACAAACAAGCAAGCAAACAAACTACCAGCAACTAACTGCCAGTAACTAACTAACAAACTAGCAGCAGCGCCGTTGGTACTCTTCGTGAGGGAGGAAGTGACAGATCATGATCCCGAGTCATCAGCAGCTTCGTGATGAAGTTTTTGCTCTTTCCCTACGAGTTCATGGATGAAAGGGGGCGAGACTGACGACCCGGTTCTGATGACAGTTTTCGTCAAGCATTAGAGTCTGAACAGACTCGGGCATGCTGATGTTCTAAACTTATAGAACTTTGGAAACCTGCCATAAATTTCATAAATTCGGTATGCTTTCGCTGTTATGATTGCTGAATCTCTCGAAGAACAGGCACACTTGTTGTTTAAGTCGTGCCTCTTTTCTTTTCTCCTTGTTTATAAGTCCATAAACGAATCCAACAAGGTAACATACTCATAATCCTATTCAAGAATGTATCTCACCAAAGGACAGGCAGCCCTCTCAGAGTAGCGGAACGCTCGGACGAATACATTGCCACACACATCTCATGGAGTCTCGCATGCTTCGATTTGAGGGCTTGGTGCCCATGATAGCCCAGTTTGCCTGCAGCTCGTGTTCGGTCAATGACACGTCTTGCTCTGCGCCGAAGGTTCCGAAGGACTGATAGTCGGGCTGATAATGTTCATAGTGTTGAGGCACCTGCCGACTCAATTCTTAGTCAGAAGCTTTCGACTGAATTTGACATTGAGAAAGACTGAAATCAGCCAGACTCTCGATACAATTTCGGTCCCCTGCAAAGCGGTTCAGCTGCTGCCGCTCTTTCACAGACCTCGGCTGACAAATGGTAGTACGATGTAGCACATCTATGCCGTATCTATGCTGCGGCCGAATCTCTGCCGCCGCTTCTTGGTAAATCCCATGATGAGGGCGGAGTAGTCCTACAACCGACGAGCAAGCAAAGTGCATGGAACAGCTCTTGCGTCGGCCATCCTCCTCACCCTCTTGCTTGGGTTTGAAGTCTCGCAATAGTTCGCGCTGCACCTGTGGCACGGCTTCATCACTCGCATCTAATCCAGGAAAAAACGCAAGAGCATGTGTATGCCCCTGCCTCTATGCTGGAATTCATAATGTAATTGTACGCCTCAGCAAAGCTGTGGCTATTCTCCGAATCCCCAAACCCCAAGCATGTCCAGTCGCCGAGACATGCCGGGCGGCATCATCGTCGAAAGGATATCTCGAGCGAAAATGCTGTAGATCGGATGCCAACTCTTCATCCATCCTACATCGGCTACATCGGTGCCCAGTGCTCACATGGCTTCAAGATTCGCAACACTCGCCTCTTTCCAGTCACAGACGTCTGCGACGTCACAGACCCGACTCCGCCGCCATGGTTCGCAGCCTTCCTCCTTAAAGGAACCCTGCCCGCTCAGAGCCAACAAATCCAGAGACAGAAACGATGCGAGATTCTCCCAGCTTCCGTGTGATGTGCACGAGGTGCATGCTGTGGCAGACAGAGTTTTCATACAAGAGTTATTGAACACGACACGACATGATTTTGTCTGCTCCCGTTTCCTTCTCTGCTGAGGCTTCTATCCTCGATTTGCCACGTTGAGCTTACAGCCCTTGACTCAGAAAACCCAGCTCGTCAAAGCAGCAGGACGCGACCGATCGCTTCCAGACCTCGGTATCTTTTGGATCTCCTTGAGGCACCTGGGTCAAGCGAGCTTCTATATCAGCTACAAGCATTTCATCACCATCTGGCTCATCGTAAATGCCCTCCAGAAGTCGAGTCAAGGCCATTGGATACCCAAGAGGTCCTCCATCTCGCCCTTCCTTGGCAGCCTTCTCCCACAGCATAGCTAAGCCTAGCTTTACTTCTTGCCAATCTGTGCCGCCTTCAATCAAGCCCTGAATCCACTCCTCTCGCGCCGCCTTGGTGCCCAGTCTCTCAGAAAGCGCCGTTGCTTTTCCTAGCATTTCCCCTCCTCCCCATTGCCGCCATCCGGTTCGACTGATCAATCCATGCTGGAGCCGCTCGGTGGCGTGCAAAGCGGACGAACCATGCGTAAAGGGGTAAGCCGCAAAGTCCAAGGCTGAGCTTGCCAAGGCAAGCACAAAGATGATGAGTATTGATTGCCTGCGGGCACTGTTGTGGGCCATGCAGGACGCGTTCAAGGCCTACAGCTTCTCTGCGCTCAAGCCAGCTTCCATGCATTGCAAGTGGCACTCGTACAACATGAGGCAGGCAGTATGCATATACGTTACAGCGAGCAATGGGGGGCTCTCACGGGCGACTGCTCGGATCGCAAGCGGGTTTTGGCCCACCAGCGTAACCCTTAAAAATCACTTTGCACTACACACTTAAACACCCCGGGTCAGACAACAACTCCATTTGTTGAGCAGTTGGAAAAGGTCTATGTGTGAGTGTGTGTGTGGACACAGGTACTTGCATCCTGGAAAGGCTGCACCGCCAAATCTACATGTCGTGCAAGGGGAGTGTGGCACTTGCATCCTACCACACTCAACGAAGCTGTGGAGGCAAGTGGAGGCAAGACCTGATCAGTCTTGAGTACCTGCACATTTGTCGTGGTGTTCCACGAGGGGTTCAAAAGTCAGGTGTTAGGCAGTGAAGAGCGCGCGGGCATATGCGTCGGCCTGCACTTGCATTTGCATCACGCGCCTGTGATTCGGTATGGTTGCATCAGCTCTATCCGTCATGAGTGCATTTGCAACTTTCGAGTGCATTCTTGCATCAGCGTGTGTGGGTGGATCTCTCTCTGTCTGTATGTGTCTCTGTGTCTGTCTCTGTGTCTGTCTGCGTGTCTTTCTCTGTGTCTGTCTCTGCGTCTCTCTCCGAATCTGTCCCTGTCGTCTGCGCCTGTGTCACTTCTGTGTCTGTCTATCTGTGTGTTTGCGTGTCTGCGTGTCCGCGAGTCTGTGTGTCTGTGTGTCTGTCTGTCTGCGTGTCTGTCTGCGTGTCTGTCTGCGTGTCTGTCGATCTGCGTCTCTGTCTGTGTGTCTGTGTGTCTGCGCGTCTGCACGTCTGCGCGTCAGCGCGTCTGCGTGTCTGCGCGTCTGCGTGTCTGCGCTTCTGCACGTCTGCGTGTCTGCGGGTCTGCGCGTCTGCGCGTCTGCGTGTCTGCGCGTCTGCGTGTCTGCGTGCCTACGTGTCTGCGTGTCTGCGTGTCTGCATGTCTGCGTGTCTGCGTGTCTGCGTGTCTGCTGTCTGTCTGTCTGTCTGTCTATCTGTCTGTCTATCTGTCTGTCTGTCTGTCTATCTGTCTGTCTATCTGTCTGTCTGTCTGTCTCTGTCTGTCTCTGTCTGTCTCTGTCTGTCTCTGTCTGTCTCTGTCTGTCTCTGTCTGTCTCTGTCTGTCTCTGTCTGTCTCTGTCTCTGTCTGTCTCTGTCTGTCTCTGTCTGTCTCTGTCTGTCTCTGTCTGTCTCTGTCTGTCTCTGTCTGTCTCTGTCTGTCTGTCTGTCTGTCTGTCTGTCTCTCTCTCTCTCTCTCTCTCTGTCTCTGTCCGTCTCTGTCTGTCTCTGTCTGTCTCTGTCTGTCTCTGTCTGTCTCTGTCTGTCTCTGTCTGTCTCTGTCTGTCTCTGTCTGTCTCTGTCTGTCTCTGTCTGTCTGTCTTGTCTCTGTGTCTCTGTGTCTCTGTGTCTCTGTGTCTCTGTGTCTCTGTGTCTCTGTGTCTCTGTGTCTCTGTGTCTCTGTGTCTCTGTGTCTCTCTGTGTCTCTCTGTGTGTCTCTGTGTCTCTGTGTCTCTGTGTCTCTGTGTCTCTGTGTCTCTGTGTCTCTGTGTCTCTGTGTCTCCGTGTCTCCGTGTCTCCGTGTCTCCGTGTCTGTGTGTCTCCGTTGCGTGTCCGTTGCGTGTCCGTTGCGTGTCCGTTTGTTGCGTGTCCGTCTGTTGCGTGTCCGTCTGTTGCGTGTCCGTCTGTTGCGTGTCCGTCTGTTGCGTGTCCGTCTGTTGCGTGTCCGTCTGTTGCGTGTCCGTCTGTTGCGTGTCTGTCTGTTGCGTGTCTGTCTGTTGCGTGTCTGTCTGTTGCGTGTCTGTCTGTTGCGTGTCTGTCTGTTGCGTGTCTGTCTGTTGCGTGTGTGTGTGTGTGTGTGTGTCTGTTGCGTGTGTGTGTGTGTGTGTGTGTGTGTGTGTGT